CACAATAAGTACGCGATTTATGCGCCCTAAAGTTTATTCGAATGGAATAAATAAAAAAATCAATGATTCTCTAACGAAAAGTGCATTGTTTTCAACGACGACATTAAAGTTACGGAGTGAAAGATCCTCGAGGAGTACGCATCGTCGACGCGAATATCTATCGGACAAAACTGTCACACCGAATCAACGCCAGACTTCTTCACTTTACGAAGCCGCGAGGAATGCAAAAGATGATTTTTTCGATCGCCTGAGAGGTCCTAATGAGTCGAGAAAAGTCAATTTCCTTGAAAAAATATTCAATTTATCACCAAGCCTTAAACCTTGGAACGAGGAAACACTTGAAGAAATATTGTTGGAATTTGAGAAGTCTAAAGATGTTAGACGACAGAGCACAGAAATGGGCGTTCAAATAATGAAATTTCGTTCAGCAATAAGGAAATTCGTCGATGAAGTTTGGCAAGAAAATATAAAGCAATGTAGTAGAGAAACGTTAAAATCAACTTATGTAGAGGGCGGGGTAAGTGCGTTGAAACAAGTTGTTAAAACCAAATTTTTTAAACCAAATTTAGAAATTCATTTTTTTTACTTTATGATAATTAGAAAGATGCAGTTGAAAAGTTGCTCAAAGCAGCCTTTATGGAATTTTCTCAAGATTTCATGTCCGATGAGGATAAGGAAAGGTACAACTCTCTGAAACAATTGAGCGATCTAAGTTTTCCAGCGGAATGGCACCCGGTCGCGAGAACTATACAACGGTATAGTTTATTTTTTACATTCATGTAATTGACTGAACCGTAGAATTGGTGGTGATTGATCTCTCTTTGAAATTTCAGCAAAATAATATGTCATGTTGGGCCTACAAATTCGGGAAAAACTTACAACGCTCTAAAATGTTTGGAAGGTGCCAATTCAGGTTTATATTGTGGGCCTCTACGTTTACTGGCTCATGAAGTCTTTGATCGTTTTAACAGTAAAGGGATCCCATGCAACCTTGTGACTGGAGAGGAAAGAAGGGAATTAGAGGGTACTTATGTGCCTCTAACATCTTCCACTATTGAAATGGCTAATTTGCAAAAGCAGATAGACGTAGCAGTCGTTGATGAGATTCAAATGATTAGCGACACGCAAAGAGGATGGGCATGGACTCAGGCACTTTTGGGTAGGTTCAATTTGTTTTTAGAGTATTGGTTATAAATGGTTAGATGATAGTAAGTGAATTTTTCGTTAATTTTAAGATAGGTTTACAAGCCAAAGAAATTCATTTGTGCGGTGAACCTTCGGCCGTACCACTTATTCGATCAATTTGTGAAAGCATTGACGAAGAAATTGAAGTTCGAGAATATAAGCGTCTTTCAGAACTCGAAATATGTCAAAGTTCACTCGACGGAGATCTCCGGAAGATTCAGAAAGGCGATTGCGTTGTTACATTTTCCAGGAAATCTATTTTTAGTCTAAAACATGAGATTGAAGAAGCTACAGGCCTTCGCTGTGCTGTTGCTTATGGTGGCCTGCCGCCAGGTATGTGATACATTCTATGCATCTATCTGTCACTCTACATTTCCTG